AATGCAAATAAACAAACAAGTGTATGTAGAGCTATATTACTATATATAATGTTATATGTGCAGCTGTTCAATGTGGAATGTAAAATGTGTTGTTAAATAAGTGTATATGTGTATAAAAGTGTATGGCAAGTAGTGATGTTGCACGACACGGAGGCGGACATCATTGTCGGCACCAGGTAGTGATTATATATCATGCATTATCCCACATACCACCAACATATCACCCATAAATCATCAACATCACCCACATATTGCCAATATTGCTCTATAAGCTCAAGAGCTTATCACCCACATATTGTCAAAATATCAGATATTATACACTTATTCTGCTGAATATAAAAGAAGGCATTGGACATATAACCAGGAACACCAATGGTAAGAAAAACAAATACTATGGAAGTCAGTGGTTATCAGTTACTACGATTTTGTGTTCAATAAAAAAAAAGAAGCTCAAACAAGATTGTGACAAGTAAAATTTGACAAATGTTTCCGTTTTATGTGAGCTATCCCTTGTTAAAAAAGGGAAAGAGGCACTAAAGAAAATGCCCAATAAAGTTTTGGGGCAAAAATAATGCAAACTCAGCACTTTTTGTAAAGTAGGGTGTCCAAACCTGTTCTAGAAAGACAATTTTATTCCAAAGAGTTTAGCTTTAAATTAAAATAAATACACATACACTATAAACAAGCTAATCAGACTCAGTAGAAACATCCAGAAAAGCATGTTAGAGCTATTTGGAGTAAACTCTGCAGGACAGTGGTCCTCCTACATTTGTGCACCTTGTTCACCTGTATTCATACATTTCTCCTTGATTAAATAGCAACTTATTCCACACTAATGCACTTTTCGTTTTGTGCAAAAAAATGCTCTGTGTCTTTTGTGGTCAGGCCTTATGTCATCCGCTAACCATCACTATAGTAATAGTATTCTCCACTATCTATGCTAGTATTTATGCATCTCATGAGCAAACAAGTGTTTTCAGTTGGGTTTATATGCAGCAATGTTTTCCTAAAGTTATTCAGACATGTAATACCCTTCACTGTATAAAATGCTGCAGGGTTCCACACGACTCCTTCATGTGCTCCAAAAACAAATTAGGTTAAGGTTTTTTTTTTTTTTTTTTTTTTTTTTTTTTACAAATTAAAGTAGTTTGAGCATAAAATAATTAAGTTGCCCCCACAAAAAAAAAACTAAAAATTTAAATTAGTAGTTTGAACAATCAGCAAAATGAGTGTATTTGAGTGTATTCTTTATCACAAATTTTCACATATTGTACTGAAACACCTTTCTGGAAGTGTTTACTTGCATGTCTTAAGTGATATATCAGTGCAGTCAAAAAATGTGATCATGCCATTGTGTGTGTGTTTGTGTGTTATGCCATACCTGGACTTTAATATCATTTTCCAGCTCCGCATCCAGAAAATCCAGTGTAACAGGTTCCTGGAATTTGGGGTTCTAAAGAAGAGAACCAAACAATGTTAACATTTCACTCTCTGTAGTTTACTTTCAGCTTTGGGTTGAGGGTTAATGTGCTCCAGGTCTACAATACATCATGGTGAAAGTTTCTGTTGAGCTACAGAAATACACAGTGTTTAAAAAGTTCATTTATGGAGGCATAAATCTGATTAATATGCTCTTCTACAGAGAGAAGGAAAAAAAAAAAATTAAGCTCAATCCTCTTATGGAAAAAAGTCTGTATTTTATTTACATTTAATCTCCTTTGTGTCCCCCTTGCATAAACATTCACATTTTTTGAATAGTTTAGAAATGTAGAGAAATGTGAGCGGAAGCTTGTGTTTCTGAACACTACCATGTGAATACCTCAGACATAAAGCATTACAATATGAATTATACAATTCTAACAATTTCGCAAATAGAATTTATAACATTTTGCTTGTTAAATTATGATTCATGCTTTTTGAGGAGGCAGCATGTATTATGGATATTAAAATCTGGATTGCTCAAAAAAATCCTCCCTCGTTCCAGTTTATGAGGTAATACTTTCTGTTTGCGTAAAGTCCAAGGGAAAAAAAAAAGAAAATTTGCTCTTGGAAGTGGATTATTTTGTTCATGTGTCACATTGCTCAAGCACACATTAACCGCACTGGCACCTATACTGTACATCAAATCTATGGTGTGAGAGATGGTGTGAGGTGGAATGAGGCAGGTGACTCTTACATGCAAAATGAGGAGAACACAGTCAGAGATGAGGATGAGGACGGCAGATGAAGAACAAACATTAGAATTAGCATCAATGAATGACAGAAGAATAAAAAAAAAAGAAAGAAAGAAAGAAAGAAACAAAGAAACAAAGAAAGAAAGAAAGAAAGAAAGAGGGACAGATACATGCAAAGGAAACAATCAAAGGAGCAGGACTGAATATGAAAGCAGGACATAATGAGAGACAGAGAGAACTGAGGTCGACCCTCTCCTCCACTGCGACCCTCAGGAGCCCACAAATCGCCCATGTATTCCCATATATTGCCCAAATCACCTATATTGCCCACATATCAAGCCTATCAACCTATATATGACCCCGAGGACCCCATCTGTTGCCCATAAATCACCCATATTGCCTACATATTGCCACACATTTCACCCATATGCCTTTATATAGTCCACATATCACCCATATTTCCCACAAATATTTCCCACAAAATACCCACATATCACCAAGACTCCACATATTGTCAATACATCACCCATATATTGCCCACATATCACTCATAATGGCCACAAATCACCCACACGTCACCCATATATCGCCCGTACCCACATGTACTATTTCCCCAAATTGCTCGCAGGGCCTTGCATATTGCCCACATATCACCTACATTTCAATCATATTACCAATATCACCCATATATCCCCAGAAACCATATCATCCACATAATTGTCCTATATGTTGCCTACATAATCGCCCGCATCCTACATATTGCCCACAGGATATCATTTATTGCACATATATTGCTCGCGTATCAGCCATATTGCCCTAATATTAGACGAATATGACCCATATATCACTCCCACAATTCACCCATATTGCCCACAAATCAGCTACGTACAGTATAAACTCCTATTTAACATATATCGCCCGAAAATCACCCATATTGCCCACACATCACCTACAAATCATTCATGGCAATATGGCCCACATATCCCCAGAAACCACATATCATCCCCAGATTTTGCCAATATATTGCCTACATATCGCCCACATCCTACATATTGCCCAAGGAACCTAACATATTGCCCACATTTCAGCCATAATGCCCAAATATTAGACAAATATCACCCATATATCACCCCCACAATTCACCCATATGCCCACAAATC